TAATCATAATAATTTATTAACAAATAAACTTGAATCTAAAATATATTTTTATTAAATTATAAAATTTATAAAAATAAAATCAAAACAAAAAATCAGAAACTATAACTATAATGAACAGATCCTTAATAATTTCTTAATAATTTCAAAAGTTATTAATAAATAAATATTATCTTTATTAATTAAGTATAGAATTCAAGTTTTACGATTATGGTTAATTTTTGCAAATGCATCAACCTCATATGAAAGTTGACCAAGGATTAGAAAAAAATCAAACATCTTTCAAGGATTACTTTTTCAAATATTGATAATATTATAAAAAAATAAGTGTCAGCAAGAATTCGTTTACTTACCCTCACATACCCTTTTATAGATAAATAGATAAATATAGTAATAAGAAGAAAGATTTATTTATACGTAAATTTTATATGTTATATTTATATAAAATTTTAATTATTTATCTTTTACTTTTAATGGTTAAAATTTATTATGAATTTTTAGATAAAAATAATTATTTTAAATAAATATAAATAAATCTCAACTATTAAAATTGAAAAGATAAATGATTTAAATTTTATGTAAATGTGATTTGTAAAATTTATGTATAAATAAATCTATTCTCTAATAATAAATTTTGAGAGAATGAGTAAAGAGAAAGAGAAACACAAAAATGTGAGAGAATGAGTTAAGAGAAAGAGAATGTGTTTCAAGGAAAATTAGTGAAAGTTGAAATATAAATAAGTAAAAAAGTTCCTAAAGGGAAAAATTGGAGTAAAAAGAGATTATCGATAAATATTTAAAAGAATGATTAATAAAGAATAATACAAATGAAAGAATAACAAAAGGAAAAATAATAACAAGTAAATTATTAATATAAAGAGAGAAATTGGGTAAAACTTATAAACTTGGATATGTATATACATTTATTGTACATTTATTGCATATATTACTAAATTGTTTGTGATTTTGAGATATTTATATTATTGTAATGGGCGATACTCCAGAGACAACCTTTTTATATCACTTTTTTATATAAATTTCATATATCATTAAATGAATAGATGCATTCAATATCACAAGTTCCATATGAATAAAAAGAACTGATCATTTAAATAATATATCAAGTTATATCAAAAGGTAATACAAAAAGTTATCTTAAAATCATTTCCCTATTGTAATAGTGAGAGAACATAACAAATAAATTATCAATAATGGATAGAAAGAGGAAAATTAGGTAAAAAGATATATAATAATAGATGAAAATGTAAACTAATGAAGATTTGATTAACTGCTTTATCATGTTTACTTCAAAAAACTTTAATTGATATGGGAATTAAATATCTATTTATAATGAATTACTATATATTTAAAATTATTTTTATATTCATTAATTAAAAACTAATTTTAATTAAAAATCAATATTATTATATTTGATAATTACTAAAATGTACAATACAAATGAATTGCGTATGGCACGATTTTAGAGCCTAATTTTAGGAATTTTTTTCGTAAAATAAAAATATTATATATTTTTAAAATTTTAATTTTTGTGTAAAAATTATATTTTAAAGTTTCCTTTCTTATTCTACTTTTCTTATTTCTTTAGTATAATAATTTTTTTATGTTAGTAATATAATATTAATTTTATTAATTAGCATTTTTATTTTATTTTTATATTATAATTGTACCACATAATTTCATTAATTTAATTTGGAAGTAATACAGCCCTAAATTGTCTTTTATACAAGCAAAAACTTTACTCTTAAAACTCTTTACTTTCTTAAGCAGTAACAGTGTGAGTTTGCATGTATTAGTTGCCTTATTATTTCTTACTGTCTTTTTCACTACTTTTTTTAATTCTTACTTTAATTTAATAGTTGATACTATCATTTTATTGTTTATGATGTTTGTGTTTTATAATTGTGTAATATATAGTTTGATGCTCTAATTTTTTTTATCTAATCAATATATTTAAAATAGTGTTAAGAACCAATAAATCCGATCAAACCACATCAATTTGATCTAAATTGGATTAGTTTAGTTATAATACAATAGTGGATTAAATTGATTTGAAATTTTTTCTAATTGATTAAATTGGTTTGGTTTTAAAATTGTTAAAATCTAATCAAATTCACATAGTGATCACCCCTAACCAATACAATTAATGTTATATTACAACTATGAAAAAAAAATATTATACTAAAGAATATGAAAAATGGAACAAAAAATGAAAATTTAAAATACAATTTGTATACAAAAATAAAAATTCTAAAAATATATTATATTTTTATTGTACCAAAATTTAAATATATATTTACCAAAAAAATATAAAAGTAAAAATATTATATTAGTTAATCAAATTATTTTGTAATTGAGTGGCTCAGTTGGTTTAAAAATAAAACCATAAACTAAACCATTTATATAAGTTTTAAAATTTTGTAATCCAAACTAACTCAAATTGATATTGGTTTGGATTGGAATTTAATTAGATTAGATCAATTTTAGTTAAATAAATGAGTCTAAATCACATATAAACAACCCTAATTGTGTGCATAGTTTATATAACTTCTTTTTTCTATGTTTGTTTTTTTATGGAGATTCTTTATATATATATACATATATATATTTCACATTATAATGCAATAATTAGATTTGAAAATTTTCACATTTATTATAGGGATCTCAGTTGTGGTGCGGGACTGGGAAAGGACGTGGGGCATTTTTCTCTTGTCAAAATTTGTGGGGAAATTTTCCCACCTATAGAGCTTATAGGAATCCTCATTTCTCGTCAATTTTTAATAAAAAAATTTATTAATACAAAAACTCAATTCATAATGATTACTCATTTTTAATTAAAACTAACTTCTAAAACCTTTAAAAAAAAAAAAGAAATTAAACCCAATATATTAAACATTTTACTTTTAAATTAATAAAAAATAATAAAATGAAATGAAAAGTAAAATAACTAAATAACTAATTGTGTTTTTCTTTAGATTTGTAAATTGTTTAATTTTTAATATTGCCTAGTAGGGAATGATGATACCATGGGAATCTAATTCCTTACAAGCAATGAGGATGAGGGATAAATTTTTCCCCTGTAAAAATTCTCCACAAGGATCCCAACCCTGTCGTTTGTGGAGATGGGACAAGATAGGGAAGGAAAAACTTTCCTTGACTTCACAAGACCCACTGCTATCTTTAGATACAAAAATCAAAGGAATGTGTTTTTCAATTCAATGAAAAAGTAAGTTTTGTTTGGTTGTTTCTTTTTTCATATATATTATTGTTTTTTTGATTAATTGCTATTATTATAGTTTTTTCAATTCAATGTGATTTCATATGACACTACTAAAAAACGCAGTATAATCGATAAAAAA